TTCATCGGGAAATTTAACCAAACCTAAGCTTAAAATCATGATAGTTTATCAAAATCACTCTTTCCTAAATGAGTCATTTTATAATTTTTTAACCAGATGCTGTAACAAGAAAAACATCTCAGCGTCACAGAAGATCTGTGAAGCTATCAGTGACAAAACTGCGACAACAGTCACATAACAGAAATTCTGGGATTTTTTTTTGGCTGAACTGCAGGCAGTGTTTATAAAGGGCAGACAGGAGACAAATGTGCAACCTAATTAATAATATAACTAGTAAAATATCTATAGTATGTCCCGATTTGGTAACACCTGTAGACACTCGGAAAAATGTTGTTGTAAATTCCAGGTTTTTAAAATGATAGGATAAGTAATCAATGAAATGTGCCCGTCTGCTCACCCTGCCCCATGATCACGTTACCCCTATCCTTCAGAACCTCCACTGGCTCCCCGTCCCCCAGCGTATCCACTTCAAAATCCTCCTGATCACCTACAAAGCTCTCGATAATCTGGCTCCCCCCTGCCTGACTGAACTCCTCCACTGGCACACTCCCACCTGCACCCTCCGATCAGCGGACGCTAGCCTCCTGTCCACCCCCATCCGGACCAAATACCGGACCTGGGCTTTCTCCATTGCCACTCTGACCCTCTGGAACTCCCTCCCCAAAAGCATCAGAGAATCCTCCTCACTCTCCATATTCAAGACATCCATAAAGATACCTCTTTTCAACACTGCCTACAACTCATAATTCTCCTTTCTCTTCATGCTCCTTTTTCATTATGTTTTATTTACTTACTTATTTGTTATTATTTTCGTTTGTTTCATTTGTTGTTACCTTTTTGTAAAGCGTCTTTGAGTATCTTGAAAAGCGCTATATCCATCCATCCATTTTCTATACACCGCTTAATCCTCATTAGGGTGGTGGGGGGTTGGAGCCTATCCCAGCTGACTTAGGGTGAAGGCAGGGGACACCCTGGACAGGTCACCAGTCTATCGCAGGGCCACACTTAGAGACAGACAACCAAGCACACTCACATTCACACCTACGGACAATTTAGAATCACCAATTAACCTCAGCATGTTTTTGGACCTTGTGGGAGGAAGCCGGAGAACCCGGAGAGAACCCACGCTGCACGGGGAGAACATGCAAACTCCACACAGAAAGATTCCGGTGCCTCCACCGGGACGCGAACCGGCAACCTCTTGCTGCGAGGCAACAGTGCTTGAAAAGCGCTATATAATAATAATAATAATAATAATAATAATAATAATAATAATAATAATGCTGTTATTGCATAACTCTTTTTTCATACTCTTTTTTAGGGCATTCTAACTGCATCCCACTGCACAGAAGGCATTCTTGAGGTCTCTTTACTTCTAGCCATGGTTGTCCTGTTTCCATAGAGATGGGGCGGAGACCATTCACAGCTCTTCATTGATCAGTAAGAGGTTTACACTGAATTCTTTAAACCTGAGACTCCATGTTTATTTTGGTACTACAGTAACACTAAATGTCAATAGCCTACACCTTAAATTTAACCACACATATTTGGTACAATTGGACACTAATATTTAAGAGTGAAGTAATAATATTGAAACAACTTATATATAATAAAGTCATGTGCAAAGTTTGGCTGCAGTATGACCTTGACTGGCCCCTTCAACAAGTATTCCTAGTCATTTGTCCTGATGTATAGTAAAAGACAATTATTATATTGACAAATTAAAGTCTCATAACTCAGTGTGAGTTTTATGCTCATTGTGCGCCACTCCCTTTTCATTCCGCCTTTTACAGGCCCCTCCAGAAATGACACAAATGTCTGCTGGGAGACACAAAGAAAGAGGCAAACAGAAAACAGCACAGACATCCAGTTCTTCAGAACATGGTTTTAATCAGAAGCAGAGAGACAGCAACTTTGAAATGTCCCCACTCACATTCATCTGCTCTGACATGTTTAGTGACACTGATGATAGAAGCTTAATGCAAAAAACATGTTTGAAAAATTCATGGTGGTATAAAGAGAGGAGAACAAGGTTTAGCCTTCACATTACTTCTTAAAGGAAATTAGAGGCTAAAACTTCTCAGGTACAGGTTTTCAGTGGTTTTACTGTCCCATTGAGCCTTTTGACAATCAAAGGAGCCTTACTTCCACCTCACATAGATCACATTCCTGCAGCAACACAAAGAGGGTGCAGTGATGCTTTGATTAGCCACACAGGACAACACAGGGGTCAACACACCAGAACAAGCCTCCCCGGTTTCACCTCCCTGCCTCCAGCCTCTCCTCTATACAGACCTTCTTATTAATACCCCTTCCGGACGTCCTCTAAATCGCATCACTCTGTTTGGTGCGGCTCTTGCTTGACGACTTTTCCGGATCCTGAGAAAAGAAGGAATTTAGAGAGAGAGCGAGAGGAAGGCCTGGAATCACTCTCCCAGAGCGTGGGTCCAGGATTAGAGGAGAAAGAGCAAATACTGTGGAGCATACTGAGGGAGGCAGCAGTGAGTGTTCAGGCTCCAAACAATAGAAATTAATTAGAACTCCCTCAGTGGGGCATTGCTCTACTGATTAAGGATTGGAGGATTACTGGATAAGCACATGAAACAGTGTTTTTCTGTCGGGTGGGGCCTCCTTCAGTTTGACTTTTCCTTGTATGTCAAACCATGGATGGAAACTTTACACTGCAAAAAATAGTCTGACAGCTCAAAACACAAGCTGTATTTAGAGAATTAAAATGTGTTCTTAAAATCTTCAAATTGATAGAATCAGAACTGAGTCATGAGTCAACGCATATAACCCAGTTTAACCTTTTGTTTAACTGAAGAACTTAAAAGAGTCATAATGTTCAGAAACTATATTAATCGTTAAGTCAAATGACAGAAAGTTTCTGAATATTTCTGTTTTCATTATTAACCAAAACATGAATCATTCCCATCGTTGCTGACCTCTTGTTCATATGGAATCCAAAGGCAACAAGTTTATGTCTGTACCTTACCATGTTAAGCGCTATGTGATGACATATGTTGCTGTATATGTAAAACTGAATTGAATTTATTATAATTGCTAAAAAGGGGGAGGTCACAGGATCCTTTCCCCCATACTCTGAATTCATCAAAACAAAAAAAGCAATATGCTTTTGCAGGACTCCCTAAATGGTGCTTTTTCTTCTTCTTTTACACACTGTTTTAGGTTAAAATGTAAACTGTATGGGCGATGGACGAATCCACCATGACATCTCTCATTGGTTTTGGATGCTGTTGCTGTTCTGAAGCCTCAGGTTTCCCAGTTGGCTGTCACCATTTTTTCAAAGCAGGTATGACAGGTGAATGTGTGGATCTGACTAAAACTCAATGACACTAGGCACACCTTTACAGAAGCAACCTGTCCATCACAAAGCAGCCCTGTCCTAAAACATATCCTGCTTTTTCACCTATTTCCCTCTAAATGGGACCATAATTTACAAAATGAACACCATGCTGTGTTGAAGAAGACTTGAGACTATCAATGGTAGCCATAAGCTCACGAGGAAAATGTTTACAGAGATAGCTGATCGAGTTTTTCATAGACTTCTATACTGTTGGACTTCTATTTGCAACCAAAGGTGTCACCCCACTGGCTCTTTAAAAATGCAGGTTCAAGGCCCTTCGGTGCTGGCTTTACTTTTCAGACGTAGGGGATATACCCTTTTTTTTTATAGAGCCTATGTGTTAAAATTGATTAACTCATAAAAGTCACAAGCTGCAACTAATATTAAGCTAAAACTAACACAAAAATAAATAAATAAATAAATAAATAAATAAATCTCAACAAAGAAAATTATTGTGTCCTCTGTCCAGACACAATAAGAGTTTAAAAGTACCACAGTTGGCTCAGCTGCCAACTGACTGACTGGGTAAACAAAGAAAAGCTGGAGAGTTGCCTCAGGGTCAAAAGATCAGAGAGAGTAAAGCAAAAAACCTAAATTTGAAAAGAGAGACGAAAACTGAAGGCCAAGGTTTCTCTGTCAAACACACACACACACACACACACACACACACACATGCAGACTGGCTGTGATGAGAAGGTGTACAATTTGAGAGCCGTCAAGAAAAATGTGTAGCATCCATCATGAACAAGCCGGATGTTGGGAACAATTGAAAGGAGGAACTTGGTGTGGTCTGGTGACAACTTTACCCCCAGTTAATCCCAAATTACACAGTTACTAAAATTCAATTACTGCTTCATGCTTTTATTTGTGTAAATCATTGTAAAGCTCCAGTGTTTCACTGACTTGTTTTGAGAAGAAATGAATTTTGACCCATTTCTGCCTCCGTCAGTTCAGTTCTTTATGAGATGAAATCTGGCTTTCTGATAGTAAACCTGATAGTAAACCTGATAGTAAACCTTATAGTAAACCAGGATCATAATCTGAAGAGATATGGAATGGTAGCCACTTTATTTTTAACACTGAGTTTAGTTTACCATATTTTTAACCCTGTTGACGAAGATGGAGTGTTGTTGAGGGATTCTGGCGATAGACTGTACCGACCTCGACATGTTCTTATCAACCATATCACTTCATGCCAAGGTGTTTTATGGTAGTACACTTCAATAATCTTGCTCAGTCACTGTTACGTTTTTTTTTTTAAATCACTCAGAAATGTTTCAAAGATCCCGCTTTAATGTGGGATTAGGATTTTTCAGCAGTGTTCATTTTTAAATTGATATAAGAAAATAATAGATTCCCCCTATAATGAGAGAAAAAAATTCTCCCTCAAAAACGTATGAAGAATTAAAATGTATTCACAGCTCAGCTCAGTTAAAGAAGTTGCATAGGAGACATGGTCATTTTGAAGTTTGAAGATTGTCTTTTTTTTTTTTTTGGGTCCATTTAGCTGTGAACACATGGACTATTTATTTATTTATTGCAGTATGGACCTACTGGGGTAAAACTTGAACACACTCTCCACGCCCATGAAATATGTACATGGGCGGAAGGGGTGAGTCCAATCTCTGAAACACTCCTCCGCGGCGCAGCACGCAGGACGCACAGAGGACGCGCGTAATAACAATCGAGCTCCCTCATTTGAACACTTCCAGACCGCTCCGAAGCAAAGATTGGACTTTACACATTGATTTCTAGGTGCAAATCTTTGTTTTAAACTTTAGGCAGCGCTGGGTTTTTATTCTGTCCCGCTCTCTGGCGAATCGGAGGCGTGTTTCTTATGATGCCCGGATTTCGCAGGAGTATTTGCTCCACATTTTGGATCCATAATGTGAGGATTTGTGTCGGATTAACGAAGGACGCTGCGTAAAGGAAAGCTTGAACCTCCCAGTGTGACCAGTTTGGCTCGTTGCAACCCCCCTGAAGTCCGGAATGGGGCCATCATCTACACTGCTTCTCCTTTTTCTGAGTAAGAAACTTTTGAATGTTGGATGGGGTTTGTTATTCCAAAACTGAACTCTCATGTGGCGCAACAAGTGTGGAGGTTTGAGGAGTTGTCATATTTCCAAAATGAAAAAAACAAACAAACCAACAAAAAAACAACAAAAAACACATATTTTACTATTTGGTTTCGTGCCAAACACAGATGTTATTCATCCTACAAAAACTTTGTTGCGCAAAAACTGAATAGAACATAAAACAGAAAAATGATGAGATCATTCAATTTACGCTTGTATTTTTATAAATATATGGATTGTTAAATGTTTCTTTTCAGTCTTTATGGTGTCAAACATGGAGCAGACACACCTCAGTTTACCTCAGCACACCTGTTTAGCATCATGACTGTGTGTTTGTGTCCAGCAGGACAAAACAGCCTAATAACCTTATGCCTTATGTCTTATGTCACAGTGATATACATGTTAGATGAAGGTTAGAAGGCAATGAGAAGCAGTCCTGGGGCTGCTGGGCAGATGAAAGTTCTGAGAGAATTAAGAGCCACTTTAAAACATCTATTCCTGATGAAAACTCAGACTGAGCAGCAGAGGATTGTGGGACTGCAGTTCACCCAATCCATCTGCTGCCAGTGACAGTGGAAGACAACATTTGGCAGCAACTTGGAATGACCGGCTGGGATTAAGAAAAAAAAGAACATATTTTGGAGTTTACTTATCCTTAAGTGTGTTTAAGTGGATCCAACAACCAATTAAGTGGTGTGTTATTGCAGCCTTTCATAGTGGCAATGAAAATGCGCTGTCAGCCTTGATTAGTGTGTTCTGTAAATTTAGTGGAGAAGAAAACCTCAGCAAGGCTTCGCTGAGCAAAACAGCAAAGTTTAGGGAACCCAAACATTTGCAGGAAGAAAAGAACTCATATGGAGCAGCAGCTGCTTGTTCGTCACCTTTTTTACTGACTTTAATCTAGTAAGTCTGTAATAGTCTTCAGCTCTGCCTCAATGGATTCTTGAAGTGTTTATTTATCTTTAGGTCGCAATTTTAAAATGTAGAGAATCTATTTACGAAAATAATACTTGTGATGTTCATCTTAATGACAGATTTTTTTATTTTTTGGGTGGCAAAGTTGCCTTGTGGTAATATGAATGTGTTCCTGTCAAGTTCTGGCCTTTGTCAGTACAGAAAGTAAAAAAAATAAATTTAAAAAAAAGTAATACCAACAAAAAATAAAACAAACTTCCATCTTAGTCACATTTGCAAACCTAACCTTAACCAATATTGCATTTATATGACCAATACTGACATGAGATTTTTTTTTTTAAATTTATGCAAATGCTTTTAGCATCAGACACATACATTTGGTGGCATTTGCTGTTTGCTTGACAAGTGCCAAGTTTGCACAGTTGAGTTATGAAAAGCAACTATCAAAGGTAAAATATAAAACCACAGCAATTTTCAATGGAAACATAATCAGTCAATCGTCTTAAATAAATGGCACAAACACAAATCCACAAAAATACATCCAATGAAACTACTGTGCATGCATACATGCAGCTTTGTTGCGCACTTGTAAAACATAAAATTTATTCCATTAATGAGTTTAAGAGCTGATTTATTAATGAGATTGTTTAAAAATTGTGTGTAATGACATCTGAGCAAAACATATAAAATACAAAACCACACCAGTAATATCAACCTGCTAATGTACCGTGCTGAAAACACTGCTGTGATTTAAATGTCAGTTACCAGCTTTTGGAAGATTTTGAGGTGTGATTTATTGAACAGAACTCCAAGTGATCAGTTACTGTGAAGAAAATTTGCACGATAACTTCATAACGAGAGGAACAGTCCTGAAAGTCATGTTTACAAAAGATGGAGAAAATGCAATCAAACTCAGTGACAGACAGAATCAGTGGTCAAAGAAACTGGCAGGAAAAGACAGATGACAGACAAACATGAGAGATGCATTATGTCCCACCTCTGTATCAGCAGCAGGGATTCATTCTTTATGTAGATGAAACTAGCAGCACCTCAGTGTAGGAGTGCAGTATGGAGCCTTAACAAAACAATCCCAAACCTCAAGAACCAGCGTTGAATGTCAGACTGAAAGTTCTCCGCAGCTATCAGATGCGTTGACATAAAATTTTGTGCAAATATTCATCATTCCCAGATATGGAACCCTGCTGTGTTTGATGACCTTTCTCCTTTCCTTTCAGTGGCTGACAGTTGTGGTTTTAAGAGAAATTTTGAGTGTTTCTTGACTGAGTGAGAAGCAGCAGCACCAGTGGACTGTTAGCAACCCTTTTTGGTTGTCAGATGACACGAGTTGTAATCATTGGAATCTTTCTCGTTATTCAGATTCAGATTAGTTTATTTGTCATATCCAGGTTAACCATGCAATTAAATGTTTTGCACAAAAAGAACCAATAAAATCAGTCGCAACACTAAAAAATAATACAACACTAGAGAACCAACAAATGCACAATAATGTATCAAAAATGGGAAAAATATAAACATGAAGATAGAATATTTAGACACCAAGACAATGAATTTGTCTATAAACTTATGCAGAATCTAGAGCTAAAAATAAAATTTTAGACACGTACATGGTCTAAAGTGAAGGTGCATGAATTGTGTGTGACAGACATGAATCTAGTGCGATTGTTTTAGCAGTTTATATTGAGTTCAGAAGCCTGTTAAAAGCTGTCTTTCAGTCTATTGCCTTCCTTCTCACATTTAAATGTAGCCTGGCAACTGGCTATCCTCTCTTACTCAACGAAAACACTACTTTATGACTTCACTTGATGCTGAATGCAAAATCCGAAACTGTGCAAACTAAATCATAGCTACAGCTGTCAGAGAAATGTGGATTAGAGTGCAAAAAGTGCCGTATTTCCCGCTGAAATTCAGCACAGTCGAAGTAGAAAGTCTTCCAAAACAGAAATACTTCAGCACCAGGACTGTCTTTCAAAATGTCCTTCCCACTTCTGGGTGTAGTTTCTCCAAAGTGTTATTTTCTGTACCCCCTTCAAGTTCTGCATGGTCACTGCCAAACTCTGAGATAACACAAAGAACAGGCCTTTGTCTGGTCTCTGCTCTGGCACTTCTGGATTTTTCTCTTCCCATAAACGATGTGGAGTCTCTCGTCTTGTCAGGGGTCCCAGTGCTCTTACCTCACCAGTGGGATCAGGCCAACTGGAAATGTTCGCCGTGGTTTGGGGCTCCGGGAGTTTTGTGGGCGCTTTGATTTAGATAGAGAGCAGCAGTTTGGGAAAGCAGCAACAGCGAGGGACCAGAAAGGGTTTGAGTCGCGGCGTTCTGATTATTGACTTAATGAGGGAAAAGTTTTTTTTAGATTTTATTTTTCTTTTTTTTTTATAAATCTATTAGAAGAAACTCCCTCCACTCACACATTGAACACTGTGAGACGTGTGGCACGTCCTCCTAAAACATAATTTTACAAACACATAACCTTCTTGTAATCATTTCCTCATTTATTTCTAAGTCTGTTTTCCATTTTGAGTTTGACTTTGATGTTATGTAAGAAGATTTGTAACAGAGATTAAAATTGTTCTAAATAAAGCTCACATTTCTTTATATTTTTAATATTTTCACAAGGTTTGGTCTCTCCTGCCCAAACCATGAGGGTCAAACAGCTGAATACCAGACACCGTGACACCTCCCAGAACAGCAAAAATGGGATTTCATTTGATTATTCACAGATTAGAATGAGTTTGGTTTTATTGTTGATCCTGCTGTGTTTCAAAGTGAGAAACAACTTAAAAGATAATAAAGATACTTTTGTGATTTGGCCCAGATTTTATTTTTTCCAATTCCTTTCATGCTTGTGTTATTGTATCAGTCTAAATAGTTGTAACATAGAGTTAACATTAGTGTTTGTGGGAACAAAACATTCAGCATGTCAGAGATCATAACCACAACATAAAGAACCAGTTTTGCACTTTTGAGAAATCCAGTGTCTAATATTATACAAACATAATAGTAGTAGAACGTTTTGTGTCGTTTTACCAAAACTGAATTTTAAACACATTCATGATCTTGGTAAAAAAAAAAAAAATACATACAAAACTTTTGTATATTGTCCAGCCCTAGTTTTGAAAATGCATGTGTGCATTTGTTGCCGTCTTTGTGAGGTGAAACTATTGTTGCGAGCACATTTAGGTTGATCCTCACAACAACAAACAGCAGTTTGAGGGTTCAAGCTGGCGTCTGTGATTCGAAGGAAAGACTGTTGATTATTAGAAAGTTACTATGTTCCAGATTTACTGTCCCTCTCACTGCCACTGCACTCCTTGCCTCCTCATCTGCACGCCTCCTCTCCTTCCTCCTGTTACGTGCACAAGTTTGAACACATGTGCATCGGATGGAGCCACTTTGATAGTTTCCTATTTACAGAACACTAGATGTTTGCCAGCACACATAGAGAGTGGACAGCTAGCCGAGCGTGAGGAGATGCTCACTGAAAGAGTGTGTTGGATGAGAATGGCTGACTTTACCCTTAAGACTTGGTTGGGGTCAGAGTTAGAACTGGGTTGGCCCTCTGAATCCCAAAACCCACGTCAACAGATTTCTGACAGTTATGAGCTACTTGGAAAGTTATCCAAAATCATTATATTATATATCTTATTTTAAAACAAACAAACAAACAAACAAAAAACTAAAATACGCCATTTGCAGAAACAAGATTTTGCTTTAAAAAAAAAGTGTTTTGTACTCATTGCAACTATGATACCATGATGAGGGTATGTTTCTTAAGAAAGTAAAGACGTGCACCTGCCGTTTGACCTAAGGTGGTTTATGACCCTGGAGAGGGTAAGAGGTGTTTGCATAGAACAACTCACCAGGTTTCTTTTAAAATTCATGCCGCACGCACACACACACACACCCACACACACACACACACGCACACACACACGCATGTACACCAGTAGTTTAAAACACGCAGCTGGCAGCCACTCAGGGGTCTTTTCTGCAGGTCTTAGTGGACTGCAGGTGCAACAAAAATAAACTGACACACGGAACATGCAGCAAACTGTGGAGCCTCTTCTTTGATTTTGAACAGAGCTTCAGCCAGCAGAGCAGCGTTACTAATGCCACCAGCTGAGTCAGGGGATCAAGCCACCCCACTATCTAGTGTTTCCACTGAGCAGCACTGTGATCTGGTGATTTACACACAAGCCTGGGCGAGCACACATAGGAGCTGCCTCGCCGGGTGTGAAACAGCTGGATGGAGCTTTGTTCTTCATGGAGCTTTTGACTTCTTTTAATCAGATGTTTTTGTCCTTCCCTCAGTGTTGTTAGTCTCAAATTAAAAGCGAAGCGGCGACCGCAGTGGCATTCCTGGGCGTTAAATGATATTGCCAGGCAAGTTGGGTCTGAGAGAAAGAATTTAAGGCAAAGTCTTCATATTTCAAGGTAGATTCTGATGATATTAAAGTATTACATGGAATCAATCCCCGCTGGAATGTGAGCTTCAGGGCTTTTCTTTGGCTGCAGGCTTTGAAAATGCTTTCATTTCCGATATTTTATCCCTTTAAGCTCAGTCCTTCACTGAAGGTATTGTTTTTTCATGTGGTGCATCAAAGGCACGCGGACAGGGTGGGAACTGAGAATTTTCAGTACGACTCTCACTTTGTCTTGGTTTGTTCTTAGCATTTGTTCAGCAGAAATGTACTTATCAGGTATCAACAAATCAGATAATGTTAAACCATAAAGTCCTCATTTGTACCAGGTATTGTAGGTCGCTGATAAAGCCCTGTAATCCTTGGTGTGATGACATGAGTTAAAAGGAGTGAATTAACGACTTCAAAGAGGTCTGGCAGATTGAAAGCATGAGAGGACGACTGCAGACTAACAAGGCAATTGATTTTTCTGTTTGATCTCACTGTAGTTAATTTATTAGTTGTCTCGAGAGCAGCTGTACTTTATTTAGTAGGATATAAAGATCAAAAATAGAAAGCATTTGGCAGATTTGACTGATTTTTAGTGCTTTATTTGCAATTTTATTTGATGTTAAATACTGCTGAACAGCACTTCAAGCATCAAATGTGATTTTTCAAAATGTCCCTTTGTTTTTCAACAGGAATTACCGATCACATTAATCTGTCATGACCAGTGTTGGGGTTATTACCTAAAAACAAGTAATGTAATACCCTTGTCACCTTTTAATAAAATAATGCATTCTTTTTCTCATTTACTTCTCGTAGGAAGTCATTTAGTACACCATACTCATTGCATTGCTTTTGCATTTCTCAGGAACATCGTCGAAATGCATCGGCCAGTTAACAATATAAAGCTAAACCTTACATATGTTGCTATATCAGCACAAATCCCTTTACTAATAAGCCAGTCATCCACAACAGTTTTTTAATGCCTTTCAATAGTAGTACCCTCAAAATAAAAGTAGTAGTTGATTATTAAAGGTCATTTGATTTCTAAATTTAGGAACTATAATGCATTTAATCCACTGAACCCTACCAACATGTTTGAAAGACATACTATGCTTAAATATCACCCAAATCACATCATTTATCAGCCAGGAACTATAGAAACAGAAAGAATCATCCAGTTTTCAACTTCCTTTGAACTACCAATGTGATATAATCATCAAATGTAAAAATTGCAAAAAAAATAAAATTATTTTCATAACCACATTTGATGGCAAACAAAAAGTTGAGCCCTCCTCAGGGTAGCTGAGGAATTCTCAGTGACTTGGATGCAAGGAACAGTCATGTGGCTGCATTTATAAAGAACAGATTAAGACGAGTATGGAATCTAATTGAAAATCTAAGCAGTAAAATATCTATAGTATATACAGTCACCATCTTTCCAGTATAGCTAACACCTGTGGCCGCAAAGGTTGTACTTGTTTCAGATTTTTTCCCCCCATTTTTTGTAATATAGACAAATAAATCCAACTGTTGTCTTTTCGTTGCTGTTGTTTGTTTTTGTTTTTTTTTAAGAAAATATATAATTTATGTCAAAGAGCACACAAGATATTTTTGGTATTCCCTCCTTGTAGACATGGTTGTGTGGTTTCCATAAGGGTGCATGACTTTATAGAGAGAAGTAGTCTTTATTTGTCACGACTACATTTCAGCAATGTGAGCCACCACTGCCGATATTGGAGTGAAAAATGAACCTCCAGCGAGTATAACTCCTGGAAAACTGCTTGAGGTTCAGAAGGTTAATTTCTGCTTTACAGACAAATGTAATGTGGCAACAGTGATACGTTACTTTGTGATGTCTGACCCCTCCAACATTGCTCATGATTAATTCACTTCTTCTCTTTTGTTTTTTTGTTTTTTTTATCATGGATTTTGCTCACCTTCTCTATGAAACACAAAATCCTTCTCTTTTCTTATGTTTCATATTTCCATAAGTTAAACTTTGGGTGGCGTTGTCATTGTTGTTCCCACAGCTTGGGCTGAAGGCTCCTCTCTTCACTACTCAGACGGCCCCTCCAGCCGTCTGTCCCTGGCGAAGACCTTCGGTCACTCAGTCAAAGACTCCCAGTGCCATCACATGCTGAAGCACCTTCATAATGGAGCCCGGATCACTGTGCAGATGCCTCCCAGCATGGAGGGTCACTGGGTGTCCACCAGGTTTGTGGACAAAAACAGTTTGATTTAACATCCTAAACATAACCATGTCACAGAATATGTCCAGTGTGCCTGATGGAGGAACATTTCAGATACAGAGTCCATCAGAAGTTGTTTGCTATTGCACATCCTTGAACAAATTCATTTGGTAAGAAACTTTGTTTGGAAATGCAGAGACTTAAAATATTAATGCTGACTTAGATTTCCTGAAATAACCAGAGACATGGAACAATCGTGCAGTTTATCTTTTTTTTTTTTTAGCAGGAACGCAAGAGTTTATCAGTGTCAGAGACGCACAGTTTCATACTTATAGAATAGAATAGAATAGAATAGAATTTTATTGATCCCTTTGGTGGAAACCTCAGGGAAACTGCTGAAATTTTAAGACGGAGGAGCACCAGAAAATACCATTCAATTCAATTCAATTAAAAAAACAAACAAAAAAACACTTTCATGTGAAAATAATTAATACAAAAATATATATAGCCTAGGATCCAAATCATTTATTTTTGTTGCATAGTGAAAGAGAAGTGAGTACTCTTAGGACAGATTGTGTACATTGCTGTATTTCCAAAATAATTTTGACATTAATCAAGTCTAGAACACAAAGCACAATTTGTGAAACTGATACTTTGTAGCAGCCTCTGATTATTAGGTCTACTGTGATTAAGCTTGTTTAGATGTACCACCGGGTAAAAGCTTTCAAAGTCTGTTTTCTACTGACACAAATGACCAGAGTAAAACACGAATATGTAGCTGCATTTACTCAGACACGAAAAATAGGCTCAAATAAAAGTCACTCTAAAGTTCTCTACACAATTATTCAACCCACAGTTTGATGACATAGCATTTATTGAAGATATGTGTTCCACATAAATAGTATCATAAAAGAAAAGTAAATGTTTGTTGTGGTGAACAAGAACTTATGTCTGTGATAAGAAAGTCTGTTTTCTGCACATAGCTATAATTTGATCAAACTGCTGTTAAAAGTGGGGCTGCAAGGTGACTCGGTGGTTAGCACCATTACCTCGCAGCAAGAAGGTTGCCGGTTCGTGTCCTGGTGAGGACACCTGGGATCTTTCTGTGTGGAGTTTGCATGTTCTCCATGCGCAGCGTGGGTTCTCTCCGGGTTCTCCGACTTCCTCCCACACAGTCCAAAAACATGTTGAGGTTAATTGGTGATTCTAAATTGTCCGTAGGTGTGAATGTGAGTGTGCTTGGTTGTCTGTCTCTAAGTGTAGCCCTATGATAGACTGGTGACCTGTCCAAGGTGTCTCCTGCCTTCACCCTAAGTCAGCTGGGATAGGCTCCAGTGAGGATTAAGCGGTGTATAGATAATAGATGGATGGATGGATGGATGCTGTTAAAAGTTGGTCAATGTGCTGCACAAAAACAACACTCTGCTCTTGATCAGAATTATTGGTGTTTCTTAAAACATTTACTGCACATCAACTTGCACAGGGTTTTCCTGAATGGCCGTCTGTCTTCTGTTGCAGCTGTGAGGTGAGACCAGGCCCAGAGTTTCTGACACGGTCCTACAGATTTTATCCCAACAACACCTTTCAAGCTAACCAGTTCTACTACGAGGACAACCACTGCACCAAACCCACCTACACGCTGGTGATTCGGGGACGACTGCGCTTACGCCAAGCCTCCTGGATCATTCGTGGTGGTACAGAGGCGGAGTACCACCTCCACCGTGTCCAGATGGTGTGTCACACAGCTGCTGTGGCCAAAGAGATCAGTCAGAGGCTCAAACACAGCTGCCGCGGGGCCGTAAAGGGCCCCTGGGAGCCCAGTGTGCTGTACGAGCTGTGGAGCGAGGAAGGCGGCTATGACTGCTCCAGAGAGCTTAACTTCGCCATGCACGAGCTGCAGCTGCTGAGGGTAGAGAAGCAGTACCTGCATCACAACCTGGATCACCTGGTGGAGGAGCTGTTTCTAGGAGACATCCACACTGAGCCATCGCAGAGGTTGTACTACAAACCATCCAGCTACCAGATTGCACTGCAGAACGCTAAGGTCAGCCCCTAATGATTGTCAGCTTAGAGGGAGGAGAGTGATGTGTAGGTATGGACACTGGATGAAGTTAAGGGGTCCTCAGGTGATTTACTTGAGGAGGAGAGAAGAAGAAGAAAAAGAATTCTGTAAGAGAAGAAATTCTGTCTTTTTTAGACTGTCCATAAATTAGACCCAAATATAGATGGTTTTCTAATAAATTTAATAAAATTATACATGCTGATATTAGACTTTAGTTTAAATCAGCCTCACCATGCTGCTAAGAATGACTGTTGATTCTTCAGTCCTGTTCATGTGGGACTAGTTTTACCTGGGGACCTCATGGCATTTAGAAATCACCCCCCATGTCTGTGTTCCATGCAGTGCACTTACATGGAATAAGCAAAGTCTGTTTTTACTCAGATTTGCCCGGATATGACATTACTAGACTTTGTAATCCCCATGCTGTCAGAATGGCATTTATTATATCATTCTTCATGATTTAGCTACTGTGATAGATTTGAACTTCCTCTGTCTGCTGTGTAGCAGCATGAGCTTTCTGAATTTGCACCCAAAACACTATCCAAACTTTTATTTGTATTTGCCAACTTAGCTTCCATCATTGTTGATCAAGAAAGAGGCAGAAGAAAGGTGCGAAGAAAACAAGAAAAAGCAACCCCAAATCAAAATCAAATCAAAATCAAATCAAGTTTATTGTCATTTTGCTGTACATACATAGTAGTACAGGCAAGATGCGTTTCTTCAGGATAATTTAATTAGTAAGCTTTGCGGAATGAACATCTGGGATAAGCAACACACTCAAAACGTTCACTTTCGTTGTCTCCTGAAGGGGCCGCTGCGTGTATGCGTGCCACCATCACCATGGCAACATCAGCAACAACAAATCACCAAGATGCCAATTTTTACAGCCTACTACTATAACTGGACCTCTGTATTTGGGGGAATATGGTGGCTATATGCAGTGAAGTTTTGGAAATTATGGATAGGGCAGGGCTGCAAGGTGGCGCAGTTGGTAGCACTGTTGCCTCGCAGCAAGAAGGTTGCCGGTTCGCGTCCCGGTGGGGGCACCGGAATCTTNCAAAGTCTGTTTTTACTCAGATTTGCCCGGATATGACATTACTAGACTTTGTAATCCCCATGCTGTCAGAATGGCATTTATTATATCATTCTTCAAGATTTAGCTACTGTGATAGATTTGTACTTCCTCTGGCTGCTGTGTAGCACCACAAGCTTTCTGAATTTGCACCCAAAATACTATCCAAACTTTTATTTATATTTGCCAACTTAGCTTCCATCATTGTTGATCAAGAAAGAGGCAGAAGAAAACAAGAAAAAGCAACCCCAAATCAAATCAAATCAAAATCAAATCAAGTTTATTGTCATTTTGCTGTACATACACAGTAGTACAGGCAAGATGCGTTTCTTCAGGATCATTTAATTCGTAAGCTTTGCGGAATGAACATCTGGGATAGGCAACACACTCAAAACGTTCACTTTCGTTGTCTCCTGAAGGGGCCGCTGCCACCATCACCATAGCAACATCAACAACAACAAATCACCAAGATGCCAATTTTTACAAACTACTGCTATGACTGGACCTCTGTATTTGGGGGAATATGGTGGCTATTTTCTGGGAAACTTTGGAAGTTATGGATAGGGCAGATTTGTACGAGACCCCGGATGACCTCTGCAAGTGTTACAAATTGCGTTTCCTGGTAACACTAGCCCCCTGCTTTAAGGGCTTTAGTTGTGTTTATATTCTATTATGACATAGACAGTTGTGGACACCATGGGCATGTATTTGTCATTATACTACTTTCTATTTTGCTTGGAGGACTCTGTTAGGGCTTAGTGAATCAACATCTACATAATCTGTGCAGTCATATTACTGCTGACATACGCACTACTGCTCGAGTAGATATCCTCAGAGAGAACTCTAACAGTCTTGGCCGATGGATGATAAAATTTACATCACTATTGGGCGTGGGTACAAATGCAGCAGAGCACATATTTATAATGGTAATGTAAAGACACTCTATGTTTCTGTATCTGCAGCATTAAGAAACAAAGTGAATCGTAACACTCATGGCAGTGCAGTTAATAACTGAAAACCCAACAGATCTTGCCAACTGTAGATTCTGCAGAGGCCTCCACAAAATTCCTTTTCTATTTTATTTATTCCTAAAGTGGACGATGAGTTAGAGTTGCTGTCAGTGGTAACCCTACTGTTGGCTCGGTGACGGTTGCAGACAGACGCCCCCACTATGCAGGAGCCCTGACTTACCAGCAGGAGTCTCTTGTTCAGCAACATGGATGAGAACTCTTCTGACCCACAAACTCAACTTGTGTGTTCATTGGAACATAGGAGGCAGGGCTTTGTTTTCTGTCCGTAGCATACAGCTCAGTGTGCAACCTCAGCTGAACTTCACCCCTACTGTGTCGACCCACCACACCGTAGACCACACACACCAGAAAGACCTTGAAAACACTTTTTTTAAAGGGAAGTTATCTTATACATAGATTCCCTGAAGCAGTGGGGAGACCTGGGTAGAACTGAGTATAAATTTGTTTTGTAGTATTAGAGGGTGGCCTGAAACACACACACACAGTGAATGTTTAACAGGTGTAGAATAGTTTCTTTGACTGACTCTGGAGGTCCATCTCTCTGGTTCAACAAAAAGGCATCTACGACTTATTTAAATACTACCTTTATCCTAATCTGTGTTAGGATCGGTGTGCATGTCAACAATCTTGGCTTTATACCCTTACATGCTAAATATTTGTGCTGATGGAAACTAGAAACTGAGAACACACTGATTTCATCTCCCAAATTCAGCACCAAGAGAGAACCTTTTCTTTCCTTCACTGTGTGTACGAGATGGAATTTCTCTATTTACACTGCTGAACAGCAGCTTCCCCACTGGCTGAAACCCTAGAGTGATGTTTTCACTGTCACCCTCTATAAAGATTACAATGAAATCCTGTTTAGACCCGTTGTCTAAATAAACATCCATTTGTACAGGGATGATGGGGCTTGGTGTTGCTGATCAGAATGTACACAGAGTGAGGAGTGAGGAGCTGTGATCAAACAAGCTCCCCTGCGGCGCTGTAATGGCCGGAGCCGCTCTCTTTAAGCCCATCCAGCCTGCAGAGGCGCAATGTGAAACCAAGGCCATCTCTGGGAGCAATCAACATGTGGTATTCGTAAAATTTGGAATCATGCAGCCCTATGAATTATTCCAGACATCGCATACCAGGTTTGATTTCATGCGTGCCTGAGGCTTGAATCAAAGTGTTGCATGTGCTCCATTCCTCCTTAATCTTCTCCGAATAAAAAGGAAGTTTGGGTGTTGGTGGCACACTGATCCACTTTCAAAGTTGGAGTTACTCTAACACATTTACAGCATTGCCTTCAAGGCTAAGTTCACGAAAATTTAAAAAAAAAAAAAAAAAAGTGTGTGTATAAATATATATATATCTTTCCTCTAGTGCTATCAGGTCTATCAGATAGCTTTCGTTTTTACGTTGGCCTCTTCGGTTTCTGCTGCCACTCCAGTTCAGTAGAGAATCCACTTGTGCTCACATCGCTGAAGAATTACCTTTTAAGATAATTATCTCCAGAAATACACTTTAGATCATTCTAAAAAAGTCTCTCAGACACAGAAAGACCCACCCTAAAAGCTGACAGAGTTGATTCCTTTGGTTGGTGTGTATGAATCCCAAAGTGTTTTTGAGTCTGTCGTCAGTACACTGCCGCTTCAAGGTGGAAATGCTCAGCGATGATGTTAGCTCCTTATTTTACGCATGAAGCGGATATGTTAACAAGGTAAAAAAAAAAAAAAAAAAGATTTTCACCAGAGATCTTTAAATATTGGGATAACAGACATTGTCAGTCTCTCTCTCTTTTGGAAGCTATTCATAGTGTTGCACTCAATGCTCTGACTGTGGTATTTGTGCAACAAATAGAAAAAGAATGCGTGAGAAAGATATTTTTTCAGTGTTTTAGCTTTCCAGCCACACTTGATTTATACTCACCTACACCCACAAAGTTAGCAACTGACTCGTGAACGTAGTGGAGCATTTAGACGCTAACTTTTTGGTAACATGTTTTGCACATTAACATTGTGATTTTGTTTTTGTTTTGTTATGTTCACAGCTTCTTGTGCTGCCACCATGTGACCAAAACTGTTTTCATACAACTTTGAATGTATTTTTGATGCCGTGAGGTATCTGAATATTGCTAAACATCCTTGCATATACCTTAAAAGAGCTGCTTGGCTTGGTTTGACCCCAGTAGACAGAAGCAGGGAAATACGTTATTTTTCACCAGTTTTTGGCCCCTGTAACATTTTTGCTTGCTGGAGGTTCATTTTTCACTCCAATATAGGCAGTGGTGGCTCACATTGCTGTAAACATGGCAATTTGCTTCTATAATAATACAAGCCAGCATTATAGAAAATTTTGACCATCCTGATTTTATATAGTTTTATAGTGTTGGTCTCTTTTTTTGGTCATCAGCTGACACATGCAGTAAATTAATGCATTCTGCATTTTCTTGGAGCAGTACAAAATACCACACTCATTCCTATACAAAAAAGCTCTGAACTCAACTTTCTCTTGAGGTTGTAATGGTTTCTTTTCAGGGGTTTTTATTGCTACGGTGACTATCCAATCCATTAATCTTAAGCGGTGTACCCAGAGCTGGTCCCATTCCAGAACACTTGCTGGTGCCAGCATGTTCATTTGTGGTTGTTGGGTGGGACTCAGCAGTGATACAAGATTCAAAGCAAAGCTGCAGACTTTGTTTTTAAAGCTTGTTTCCTTCATTTCGTGTCGCCGCGGTTCACTGCTGCGTCATTGAGGCGGGATAGTGACCACTTGATAATGAGCCTTGTTAGGAAGGGATCTGTTTTAATGTGTTTTGTTGGCTATTGTGTGTGTTTTCACATGTAACTCATACAGGACTTACATTTTGGTGTTGTGCTGTGTTTTCCTCAGTTCAG